GCTGCAGAGCGATACCAAACATGCTTCAAACATTCGTAGCGTAGCCTGAGAGACAGACACAGCACACTACGCCGATTCAGCGATGTGTACGAGCAAGGGGGTACCGGAGATAGGAAATGCTACAAATGTTCGAGGTATGGCCACATAGCCAGGAACTGCCGCTCAGCCGTTCAAGAAGAGTGAACCATGTTAGAGAGGCAGGATAGCGTTGAGAAGAAAACATTGGTCAGGAGATCATTAACCAAGCTCGCAGTCTTGGAATGAGAACCAAAAGGGAAAGTGGAAATGCAGAGGAGTTAAGTAGGATGGTCGATTCGTAAAAGAATTGAGTATGCTGCCGGTGTAGTTATCGCAGCTCTAATCGAATACAGGATCTATGAGTAGTGTGGTACCGTAAATATTTTAGCAAAAAGCGCAGGAAGAAAAGAGTGAATGTGGACGCGCTGGAGACTGGTAGAGAAACTCTCAGCCTCACGCCAGTCTTTATGACGCATCGAATAAGAAAATTGGCGTTTCTGGGAGCGGTATACGTTAGAGGCCGAGTTGGAAGGAGGGAATCCGGGCCTTGTGCCGGCATATTAGCCCAAGTAGAAAATGACGAGCGATCACTGGGAACTAATCCCTTAGTAAACTTAGGAGTCAAAGTGTCCGTACTTGGAACAAAGAAGAAGATGGCAGAGGGCATCAAAGCGAAAACGAGACGACGCAGGGCGCCATATACGTCCATTCGCGCAAGGTAAACCGTCTGTCAAGGCAGTGCGAAAGGATGCCGTGAAGAGTTGAAGGAGCTTTCTCGAAAAACAGAGGAGGGTTTGCACACGGCAGAGTCTACACACCCTCTCCGCAAGGAAGTGCCAAGTCGGCGAGACGCAGAAGAGGACACAATAGTGGGAAAGTAAAACTACAAGTTTGGAAATAGTTTCAAAAGAACCAAAGGAGAAACTGCCGTCTAAAAATTGCAGAGCGCAACCATGGAATGCTTGAAGGAAAAGTTCTCACGAGGTCGAATTGCCACGCGAGGCGTCAACGGCGGTGCGATGAGGGCAATCGACTGCAGCGAGGGGGTGGGTCATGTCAGAGAATGTATCCGATCAAAAGATCAGCTGTAGATCAGCTGATCTGACGCGTTATATCGACAAGGAGGTGGTAGCGAGTTGATCGCGGGGTGTCAACTCTGCCCAGGGGGGAACAACTCGGGCGGGAAGTCTAATAAAATGGGTCCGGTTCCTATGCGGCACTCACTGTTCCAGTTCCAGAGCCTCCGGTGTTCCAGAGCTCTGGTGTTCCAGCGTTCCTGTAGCCGTTCCAGTGGCACCTGTGTTGGTGCCTTATCAGGTGGTTGGTTGAGGAGCGTACGGCCCGTAGGAAAGGAGGCGCTAGGCCTCAGGAGAGGTAGCCTTTGTGGCGTTGCGAAGAGAGCCTCAGTGGCTCTTCAGAGAGGAGCCTTAGTGGCTCATTGGCTTGCCTCAGTGGCCTGGAAGAAGAGCCTTAGTGGGCTCGGTGAATCGGGCCTTAGGGCCTGTGGGAGAAGAGCCTTAGTGGCTCGGCTGGAGATAGACTTTGCGGCTCACCATAGAGAAGGGATTGCGCCGATGCACCTGTTGCCGACCTCGGTTGGTAGTCCGGTCCCATCGATACAACCCGCTTCCGATCGCCCCGTGATTCTTTGTTGTTTGTGTAAGTTATTGTTGATTTTCAGATCTAAATGAACCTTCCTTTCTACTTGTTCTCTAGCGCAGTTTGAAAGGTTACTGCGCATTGTCGCACCCACGAATCCATCCTACACTACAGGTAGACACAGTAGGATTATAAAGAGGTGCTTGGATCCCGACTCATATCTCTTTAGAGAAGCCAGGGTCACAAAACACTTGTGTTGCAGCAAGCCCAAAAGGGGGAGCCCCATACACGTATTCCATTTGGGAAGCTGCAAAGGGAGGGGTTTCGGTACTGGATCGGGTGGTTATTCTTCAGACCACATCTCTATTGAAAATAGTGCGATATGTGATCACGTTTTCTGCGCCATCAGAGATAAAGTAGTTCCCTGAGTGACCTACACATTGCTGAAATTAAGCTGCGAAAAGAGTTCGACGAAGCAGGATATCGGGGCATAGTCAACCCTGCGTTGCGCATTTTTCAACGGCCACGTGCGCAGTTTTGCGGCCGATTAGACACGTTCTCTCGCGCGGACATTCACACTGCATGCTCGAGCCGTCTGCGTCCCCGCCCATACAGCGTGCGTTGAGGATCTCTCAGCGTGCCGTTGCGAACTGCGCAACGCAGGTGACTCTGATCGGGAGCCTGCGTTCAAAACATGCCGAACAAAATGTTCACTTATCAGAACTTTGTTCTGTTTTTTCGAAAGTGTCCACATATTTTGATACAGGGTAAGTTTTCCGATAAATTAAAAAATTAAAGCTGCATGTAAAACGGTGAGAAATGAAAAATCTGAGGTTATCCGTATCCAAGGAAGCGAATATTGGTGAAAAATAATAATAATAATAAGAAAATAAAATATAAATAAAATATGTGTGCAAAAGTCAACAATTCCTCGGATAGGAAAATTTTTAGGTTGTCCACTTACTTTTGTACGCACTGTATTAAGGTAAATTACACGCTGCGAAGAACAGTTCCAGTCTCTCTCAAAACTCACATCAGCGTCGCGTCTCTGCATACCACAACAACAAATGTGAACATCAAGTGTAGGACATTTACACCAATTTACTTACCTGCGATACTATCCGTTGGAATAAGGGAGACAGCTCAGAGTTGTTGGTAATAGTAGTAGAAAAGACACAGGACAGAATGCACCAGTACAGAGTGGATAGAAGTCATTTGAAGTGACATATCCATCACATATTAAAGGCTGCTTTCATTTTTCTTTTCGCTCCGATCGATAATTTGGTTTTGGTGTACTTCTTGTCTTTTGTCTCTTCTACTTCTTTCTTTTTCAATATTTTTTTGCGTAGTCTTCCTTTTATTAGTGTGTCTTCTGTTCATACTTATTCTTTTATGTCTTGATTAATACTTTTCAGTTTTTCCGCGGACGAGCGACGTCGTACAACCCCGTGTGGACGTGGCTTCAAGACCCGGTGAGTTCATCATGAGCAATTTTGTTTATTCTAGTGAACTGCATGTTTCCAGTAGTTGCTTTCTCTTCGATACGACTTCCTGCTGGTGTGCGAAAATTAAATTACCAAGATCCAGCGGCCTTTCGCACACCAGCAGGAAATCGTATCGAAGAAAAAGCAACTTCTAAAATTGTAGAGTCCAGTCGAAACAAAATTGCTTATGATGAACTCACCCGGTATAGCCACTTTCACTTGGGGTAGTACGACGGGGTTCTACGAAGTCGCTCGTCCGCGGAACAACTGAAAAGTATGAAACGAAACATAAAAGAGTGAGTATGAGCAGATATCACACGAATAAAAGCAACACGGCGCAAAAAAAAAACATCGAAAAAGACAGGAAATACACCAAAACCAGGATTATCGTTCGGAGCGCGCGATCTGCGCCCAACGTACGCGTTATGCGCCAGGGCGCGTATTGACGCTCTTCGCACTGTCGGTGCGGTCGGCGCCGTCGGCCCCGACTGCACCGACCGCACCGGCGCGAAGTATGAAAGCAGCCTAATAGCGGGGAAGACTGATTGGCAACCTGCCAGGCCACTGCAACGCCAACCGCACGCCATATCCCATTCAAATATCCGCGCGCGGGAAGATAATTCAAACCAAAGAACCTGGCGTAGATAAACGGCGATCATTGGCTTGTACATCGACTAGCCCCCGTAAGTCATTGCATAGGCCATATCGCAATCCAACGCCACTACAATGCACAAATGAAAGTGAAAAGCGTGCCACATCTCAAAAAGGGATTGATCAACGGTAAATGATTATCCTTTATCCTTTTACGCTAGTAGTTCTTTCACTACCACAGTGTAGCAATATCCTCGTACCAGTGAAAGAGAGCCTAGTCTGAGTGATAACACTCTTCTCCACGAAGAAGCTTTACGCTAAGCGACATGGGCACAAACCCGACTATCGCTCTCGTTCAAGAGCTTGTGCAATTTCACAGGAAGGGCAGCGACTAAATTCTCATGTATAGGCAAAACATTGTAGGTGAGGTTTATTTTCCGATGAGCAGGGACTTCGAATAAAGAATTATGAAATCTGAATTCAAAAATACCCAAGTGATTCACTTATTATGGGACAACCTAATAGAATAATATATGTATTTGCAACACTAAATTAGAAATGATATATAAAACGATATCTATTATTAGGTTGTTCGGGAAGTTCCGCCGTTTCTAGTGGCTCAGTTCCGAACGCTTCATTTGTGGACCACTTTTGGGAAACTGCTACCACTTTATATATCAGAAGGAAGTGTAGACACACTCTGTTCTAGATCCACTATTGCTTTGAAGGAGGTGGTCACGTTAAATCCAATGGTAACGATGAGGAAAGTTGCGAAATGGTGGATTGAGTAGGGGTCCTACCCGATGAGACGATAAGTAACGCTTCAGGGCAATGGGCCCTTATCAATGGCGTGGTATAGCGCCGAAACCCACTTTTGGTTAGCAGTTTACCTCGTATCGGACGGGGAAAGGGTTTCAATGGCAGCGTACTCTATATGATACCGTTATCGTAACCGTCCGATCCGGATGAGGGTTTTGATCAAACCCGATCTGCATGGAACTACTGAACAAGTCGCTGCAAACACCTTGCTGAGTAGGCCACCTGTATACAAACAGTCATCTGGATCGTCCTTTCAAGGATCAAACATTGAAACCCAACACGATGGTGAAACGACTTTCGCCAAGTTTTCTGCCTACATAACTCCAGCACATTCGAATCCGGATCTACCAAACCCTCTCAGACAAAGTTTATTAGGTTTTGGTTTTTTTTCGATAAAAAATGATTTTTTTAAAACATATATCCTTTTGCATTTGAGAGTCAAAATCGGCGGGAACTTCCCACACAAGCCAATAATGAGTCCAAACTCACCTTTTGTTCGTCATCTTTCGCTTTTCGAATAATTTCGGTAATATTTTTTTCTCGATTTTCTTGCGCTCTTTCCATGCGGATCTCCAACAATTGTCTTTTCCTTTCAATTACTTTCTGCTTTTTTTCACGAACCTCTTCTACCTAAATAATACCGGAGTGAATCCACATGTGAATTCAAAAGCAGCACTAAAGATCACACCCGGCGCGCCAACTCTCGTAATCGCGCCGTCTTTTCTGCTTGCAACTGAGCTCTTAATTCAGTAGCTCTCTTCAGTTTCTCAGCATGTCGTACAGAAAAATCAGCATCATTTTTATCGCACCTGAAAAATGAACAATAGTTAAAGACAGACAAAAAGAATCACTAGTGTACCTCCTCCTACTAGGACTGCTCATTTTCTCATGACGTTCCGCAACTGTGCCCGGTTCGCGGTACGGTGGCATCAGCTCCTTACCAACTACCTCGCTCCATGTCAAGAGAGGTCTCCGGCGGATCTCGTCTGGAAGTACCGAAAAAAAATTCGAACAAACAATATTAGAATAAAATCACGTGGATCTTCTGTTTACCTCGAGTTCGAACTGCTTGTTGTCCCACAGTCGACGTAGATGAACAACTGTCTGGCTGTTTACCCTGAGGAACACAGCAGTGAAACTTCAACAAAAACGGAACCTGTACAAGTAACACTGAGAATACTTTGAGTTTTCGGAGCTAACTTGGTTGGGGGGACCAGGCGGCGGCGCGGCTCTGTTCGTCTGCTCCTCCAAGGCTTGGTCCGCCGATTGCGCGTGTTTAGAAACTGCCTCGTAGCGACGAAATAGTAATTGCCGCTTGCACTAAGCCCTAGACGAGCAGACGAACAGAGCGCCGCGCGCCGCGTGGTCCCTCCAACCAAGCTAGCCCCGCGTTTTCTTCTATTGAACACTACACAAGGTCGTCAAAAGTGCTTTATCGGCTAACGTTTCGGCCAGCTCGCTTTCGTCCGAGCCTGCAGAAACAATTCATGAGAACCCGATCTAACGTCGCCGCTGTCCTACAGATGTTCTAGATCTAACAAAACGTCAACGAGCCACGAGGTAGACTACTCACCGTAAGTTAGTCCGATTCTTCAAATCAGCCACGAGCCAGCAGCAGCACCGACTTCAAGGTAGTCCTGGGCTAAGCAAACCAGCCTCTTTGGCGGAGCTGCTGGACCCAGCTGCACCACTTTGTCACCACTCTCCTACCGTACCGACCGAGTTCAATTAGTCCGTCGAGTTTGGACACCCCATCTCCTCCCCAGCATTCAGCATATAGCCCCATCAGAAACGCCAAACGGGCTGGTTTCCTTCCCTTTCAAGGGGGCGCCAACTGTATCACAGACGAATGGTGGCATGAAGTGAATTTTATTTGGCCGTGAAATACCATCGGGCCTCATTATACCCCCATTTCTGGCTATGCGTTAAACGGATGCAGTTTCATAACCATGTAGCGCAGCTATCTGGTAAACCATTTCTAATTTTGAGTCGCAGCTAAGGTCTTGGCCGAAAATCGGGTTAAATGTGCACGAAAAACTTTCGAGGCATTTTGGACCCACGTCAGTAGCACTAAATTTAATCAGAGAGAAAGAAAGCCTCCTGATAACGAGGGAGTTATGATCTTAAGATTGGCCTTCCAGTAGTGACTTTCATTTGGAAAGAGCCCGCATTGAAGCCGACGCTGCTACTGGCTCGTGGCTGATTTGAAGAATCGGACTAGATCACGGTGAGTTGTCTACCTCGCGGCTACCTGACTTTTTGTTAGATCTAGAACATTTGTAGGGCAGCGACGACCTTAGATCGGGCTCTCATAAATTGGCTAGACTTTTTGCAGGCTCGGACGAAGGCGAGCCTGCCAAAACCTTAGCCGATAAAGCGCTTTTAACAACCTCGTGTTACCTGGAAAGCGAGAGGTGCGGGCTCTAGTCCCGTTTGGAGCGAAAGTTTTGTTCACAACCTAGCTTCTTGTGAAACATTCGCAAGGCGAACTGCTGCCAAAAACAGCAGTTAACAAACAAAAACAAGCCAAAATGCATTGCTAAAGCTTCAAGCCTCGCGTTCATTGCCGATATCGGCTAACCGGCTCAACACGTTATACGTGGGAGTGCTGAAAGCTATGGTACGTATACCATGAAAAGCTGAGTTGGAATGAAATAGTGCTCCGGTAGCGTAACTCGTAGCGCACTTGCCCGGAAAGCGAGAGGTGCGGGTTCCAGCCGCGCCTGGGGCGAAAGTTTTGTTCACAACTCAGCATTCTTGTGAAAGAACCTCATGTATGTTCAATAGAAGAAACCTGAAACTATTATATCATTCCAACCCACCGAGGGATACTTATAGAATTCACCTCCTTCAAAATGTCAATTTAACGATGATCAACGTACTTAAAGCTTTCATGAGAGGCCGCGGGAAAGTTGAACGGAATCACGGCGTCTGGACTTCGACAGCCGGTGAAGTAGAGGGAACAAAAAGCATCCAAAAAACTCAACAAACCTGATTGGCTGCAAGAGCAGCTTTTTGGCAGAGCTCAAATTTTTCCAAAGCTTCAGCTTCAGCGGCAACTTGCCGCTCTAATTCGATGTCAATTGAGAATGACTCCTCCTGTCAAATGAAAACCTTCGTTGCGAAAGAGACACTGTGTGGAAAATTCTTTTAAAATATACATGTTCTATTTCAAGATTGAGGCTTTGCTCCTCCAACGCCAGCGACTCCTCTTCCTCGGTCATTTCCCTCCACTCAACGTCATCGTCTAGGCCAAGCAGTGATGATACTTCACCAAATGCTGGCTCCGATCTGAATATACACTGTTCTCTGAATAACTGAAGCTCGAAATTTTGTACGTGAAGTCACCTAGTTGCTGAAAACCGAATGTTGTCCCGATTCGCATCTGTGGGAGTGGGATCTGCGGGAACTGTTTCAGTCTCATCGGCTTCACCTACTTCATTGATCGATTGCAAGGAACGATCGACTGAAGGATTCCTCTCACTTGCCGGCGCACTATCGCACTGGAGATGGTGACGTGGACAGAAAGAAAAATATCGCAGGAATTCCAAACATTATCACCAAGTAAATACCTGTCGAAAAGAGCTGCCATTAATTTGATTTGTTGGCCGATTAGCGAAATGAATTCCGCAGCGACTAGGACCAGCACGTCGTCGTTGTCGTTCAACTCGTTCCATACGTTGTTTTGTGCGTAGTTTCTCCACTAATAAAGACTGATTTCGTTCCCAGAGTAGCTGTCGACTGTAGGCCATTTTGGCCATAGAAGCCTAAAAAATCAGGAATCAATATTAAATACAAGCACATCCTTTTGCAATGCATGGGAATAAAATTTCCATCTTCTGCGCCTCTCAATTCGAAGTACCTTCGTTTGTGGAAGATCCATGGCGCTTTTTGGACAAGTAAGACGAGCTGACTGTAAGGCAACGGAGGAGCGAATACTGCTGGGTCGTGGGGAGGGCGCTGCCATATTCGAGACTGATGGCGATATGGTACGACGAGGAGCGGAAAGTCGGTCATACACGCTGAGTCGAGATGGCTAGAAAAATCAAAAGTGAAGGATTCGCTTTGAAAACGAAGAGTATGTCGAGAGCTATGAAAGTCTCACTACCTCAACCTCACGTTGATCCTTTGAAGAAGACTCATTGATGACATCTTCGTGACAAGGTGCCATTCCTCCAGAAGAACTGGTGCTCCTTTTACGGCGTGGTAACACCAATTGCCAGCCATCTTCTAACGATACTAGAATAGTAGAGATCTCCTGAAGAAGGCACGCTCCGGGATTAGGCGCGCACGCCTGTACCATCCGGGGGGGGGGGTAGTAGACAGGCGGACAAGCGTCGATGTCGCCCTTTTTTCCGCTTGGAGGTGCGCGACAAAGGCGCAAGGAGCCCCGACTCGCAACCCACACCTTCGCCCGTAAGCCCCACCCTCCGCTGTCGCTGTCGCTTGCCTTGTGGCTTTGCAACAAGGCAACCGACAGCCTCTTTCTGTCCTAGCGAACCGCACCCAGGGACATGTGGCAAGTCAGGAGGCACGATCCCCCAGTTTCACACTTCCGAGGGATACGTGCTTGTGTGACCATGGCGACCCATGTAACCTGACTTAATTACCGCCTGCCAATCGTAAATTTTTGAAAATTGTTTCATAATAACGAAATAATTATGGACAAAGGTCCACCAAAAAATTGGTTAAGCTGCACTTTGGAAAAGCTGGGCCAATCCTTCAGTAGCCCTAGTCCCTTGTTTCTGATCCGAGCTAACTTGTTCATTCCAATCTTAATCCTGATTCTCACAAAATAAAAAGGGTATGAAAAGAGTAGTAAAGAGTACTAGAAGTAAATACAAAAACTGTTGGTGGTAAGTTACCGTAACTCACGATGGATAAGCCCGGTTGTGAGCAAGAAGAACGGGCTTTTTATTCATGAATTAGTGTAATCAATAAGTAGCCCCTGGCTAATACACCAAAAATTTTGATGACAGAAGGCAGTGGCTACATAGTTCACTGCCATCTTCAATGCTTTACGCAATTTTCCTTCTGACCAGGGTCATCAGGTCGGTCTAGCCATTTGCTATGTACCCTTGAAAAGGTAAGCTAGAAAAGCTCAAAACGAGGACATGTGAAAAAAGAACATGATATAAAATATTCTTTGCAGGTCCAGTCGCTTCATTCCTCTACCTTTATGAGAAGGACATATTCGAAAGCAGTATAAGGAATGAAAGTGCCGCAGAGAACGGGGCTAAATGTGTACACCTTCTTCAAAGGCACCTCCTTTACCGAAGCCCGTTCCCTCGCCCTTAATACCTCCTTGAGAATGACACCGTTTTTAGGGACGCTGTCGGAAAAACGGCAACAGTTCTGGAAAACCCTGGGCGAATGAAGCTGTTCCTTAGGTTACAGGAGTTACGAAAAGTGTTTACTACAATATATTTCTGTCAAGGGGTCATCATCATATGTGTGACACCTTTGAAAAGATTCCACAAGTTGAGTGGAGGTTGAATGCATGGCCTACACCGATACGAGATCGGACGATGACTTTTGCCCTTTTTCTTATCGTTCATTTTGAGAAGATTTATTCTAGGCACAATCCGAGAGTTCCCAACAAATTAACATGCAATGGTGAAGAAAGGAGCGGCTTTGCAGGTGGCTGAGATCCGCCCTCGATAGGTCCTCGATGCAGATATCTCGATATCTCCGCAACTAGAAAGGCCGGGGTACTACCGCTGCACTCCTTGCTTTATAACTCCGTTCAAAGAATCGTTCGTAGATAGTGAAGGCAATTTTGAGCTCAGCGTCTCGAGGCGTGCAATGGTATACTGCTCATTGCAAATGGCCGGACCAGCCTGATGACCTTCTCCTTGAATATTACTTTTTATTTGTGAAATTTTCCCTTCATTTGATTCTTCGTTGATGCCACCGCTTTATGAAAAGGAAGAACGATTCACTAGGAAGGTCTTTCAGGAAATGCCAAGCTTTCTGAAAACGGTTTTTTGCATGATATAGGGGTAAATGCATGAACACTGGACTAAAGTTCTTTTTTCCTGACCGGCCCTTTGAATACCAAAAACGGGGTTATGAAGTGGTCCGTGGTTCGAATCTTCACAGTGACAATTTTTTTGCATTTTCTGTTCGCGTTTCAAAGTTTACGAAAAAGGGTGAAAAAAGGATCCATAATTAAAAGCAAAAGCAACGTTCATTCGTAGATTTTGACCAAAACAACTAGTGAAGAAAGTTGCGACACCAAAATAGCGAATTCAAATAACGTTTACGCTAAAAATTAGTAGAATATTCGTAATCAGGGCACCGAGGTGTGTTCCAGTAAGGTAGCCAGCCATTGTGCGGAACTTCTCTTGTAGACTTTATGTACTGCGATTGTTGATAAAGTATGCTGAATAATTCATCCATTTCAAATGTGTAAGTAATTAATAAGTAATTACGCAGCAGTCATCAATATATCAGCAGTACATAATGGGCATGCGTGACATCACCGGTCGTTCTATTCTACCCATAAAACAGATAGCTAGGACCGGTGCCGGACGCTACCCCACTGCAAGCCCCCAATTTTGTGAGAAGTACGTCCGCACCACTTAGAAATATAACAGTTCAGGCGTTCCTTAATCAGATTCATAATGTGCACTTTGCTCAATCCGAAAGTTACAATTTCTGCACCATGCTCATCTAGCATTTCAGATAGCCCTTGCAAGGCTTCATTATGTTCACGTTCGCATAAAGCACAGTTAAAACAAATGACTCAGCCACACAGTTTTCTTGAAATCTACAAGAACGTGGACGATCAAGAAATTCTTTGGTGTTAGGTAAGTGTTAAGGTGCATATCGGATGACTTGACCAATAGTTTTTGTAAGAAGCCATGAAAAGCGGTCTGTTGGTCCTCCCACACAGCTGATGATAGGTCTTGTTTTGTAATAGCTAGCATTAACCGAATGCATGTCTCCATCCGACAGCTTGTGGTTTTGATCAGGAGCACGAAGGAGTATCCAACTTCAAACCTTTGATCAAGCCCTCGGCTATTTCTGCTGACTTCCAATCGATATCCAGGATGCATTCAACCTATGACATTGTGTGAGAAACGCTTTCTCTATAGCGCTATAAATTCGTGTCGTTCAGATGAAGTTCAGTAATTTCCCGATCTAGTATACAAGGGCAAACTACCAACTCTCCTCCTTTGTCGCTTACAGAGAGGCGGATTTCATTGTTTGCTAAATACAGTATCTGAAGAAATTCTTCCCACTGTGCGCTTGTAATGTTTGAGAACATTTCGCGCCTGTGCCTGTTGAGAATTTCAAGTACTCCTGATGAGAGGGCACGAAATTTACTGTCCAGTTCAGCAAAAGCTTCTGACTCCTTATACATAGAACGAACGTGGGAAAGGAATTGGCGATCGCTTAGAATCTGCGTCTATGTTCTGCAGTTCGTTGCCTCTCGCATCCCTTTGAGCTGATTTCTCAGCTTATGAAGTCCTGTTACTGCTTGGCGATACGTAGAGGGTCCAACTCCTCGTGCAATCAAAAAAGATGGTCCAAGACTGAGCAAATCTGGAGCGTTCTGTGAAATGGATGCATTGCCTACCACTGTAACCCTTGCTTGATTTCGACGATTGCTCACTTCGGGAGTAGTAATAAGCTGAGACTGGTGGTCTCAAATCTCAAACGGTACGTATAGTATGAAGTGGTACCGGAAAAACAGCTCTAAGAACGTCCTACTCCATGCAAAGTCTACCCAGAGCTGTTAAACGTGCGGTTTTTCGAAACATGTTCAGAACAGCAGTTGGAGTCTGTATAGGCGACGTGGAGCAAGATGAGTCACATAGGCTGGCTTCCAAGATTGCAAGAGCGAATGGTTAGGAACGAACAACGAAGAATCAGGCTCACGGAGAAATACCGGAAGAAATTGCGAAGACTCCACGAGGGCATTCCGCGAGAAGTCGCGACAAGGGATAGTATACCAACTTGAAGCCACGAGTCAGGACTAGGCAACCAGCTGAAGTTCTTCCCAGTGTGTGTGTGTGTGTGTTGTGTTGTGTGTTTGTTTGTGCGTGTGTTGTGTTTTGCTTTTGACCGGAAATTCTAGCTCGGAGTCACATTGCTTGTGTTGGCTGTGTTACTCGCAATCATACCGATCACAGTAATGAAGGTGGTTCTACTATTGTTATAGGGGGGGATCGGACACAAGTGGTAGTGATCAGGAACTGGAACTAAGCTCTATACTTACAATCTTATGTGGGGCGTTCCGGCACAATTTGTGGTACATGGACTGGACGATAGCAACTATAAGCGCTTATAAAATCGCACAGAAACGCAAAACTCGACGGGGGATTCACGTGCCTGGCTCGTGTGACTACCCGAAGCAACCCATACTTAACAAAGTGGTTAATGTTGGTGGACGTGGACTTGGTTGGTTGTTTTCCAGGAACTGATAACATTGGAATGCCGAAAGCGCGGCCAATACCTGAATCTCCGATCCGTTAACGCGTTCAGCGTTTGACACTAGATGCGCTCCAATTATAAATTGTATAAGTCTATATACAAACAAAGGTACTCACATTAATTTCGATACATATATCAGCTTACTAATACATCGTGCATGAAATTCAATCAAGCCTTCAACAAAAGGATAATTACATATAACATCAGGAAAGCCCAGACTCATTAAAATCGGCTAATGCCGTCAGTATAATAAATAATGTAAAATAGTAAATAAATTGATAATCCTACTCCACTTACTTATTAAATAGGCAATATTTCGTTCACAATCTGAGAATGGACAGTACAGGGGCCAAGATAGGACGCGCTTTACCGCTCTGGCCACTGAGCCGGTAGATATTTTGCAAGTGTTTCGAAACTCCTCGAAGCTTCGAAACCATTAAGAAGCACCAAATAAGTCTTGTCCAAAATTCACTGACCTCTCGGCAAATGACAGTTTTTGCATTGGGACCCATTCACAAAGAGCTGCTAAATGACGCTCTCCTGAAATTGCACTTCGAAAAATGACCGGTATCCCTCTTGTAACCAGTTGGAACATGCTCGCTGCCTCAAAAGTTAAGCACAACTCTACTGGATTGAGAAAAGTGGAAAGTTGAAGAAACTGCGCCTCTCAGAAAATTAAGGCAACACCGAAGAGGATGGTCACAACGATGAAGCCAGGCGTGTCCTCATCGCTTTGATCTCAGGAGCTGGCCTCACTTCCTGCCCAGAAATATCTTGGAAAGCAACCAGTTAATTTG